TCAGTCCCACAATCCTCAGCCCTCCTCTGCACATCCGCCAGGCTGCATGCAAGCCACTGATAGGCGGGCAGGTGGGGTTCAGTCTCAACACTGTAACCAACAAGAAATTTGTCCACTTAGAGGTTTTCAGCTGGAGCATGACTCAATGTAGACTAATGTCACACAGCGTGCAATAAGAACACCTCATTCATGAATTTAAGGCAAAATATCAAAATTAAAAGAGCTCAGAATTCTGAACGGCTCCTGTTTCAGCAATGCTTGCATGCGTGCAGTACTTTACTGCTGTGAATGGTCAAGGCAGAGACCGTTTTATTGCTTTATATAATATGATGTGATAAGGTCTTTTATTTTATGAGCTGTGTAAAAAAGTAATGAGAAAAGTAGCCAGTAACTTCAAATTAAAACATATTGTGTAATATATAATAAATCCATCCATCCATCCATCCACTTTTCTCCTGTTTATCTGAGTTGTGGGCTTTTCCAGAAGGACAACAAGATGATTCCAAACCAGCCACACGATGCAATCTTTCCATTGTGCCCAGAGTGTGCCATAGATTTTTTAAATTTTCTTTTTTTTTTTTTTTTAAGTATGTGTGTATTATATGGACACATAAATCTAAAATAAACACGTGTCCTTTCTTCTCATGATATAGCCATGTTTAATCCAAAAATGAGGGCTCAATTTTTTTTAAACTCCCTGCATACCAGAGTGCTTAAGGTTAACTGTTTTCTCCCCTGCCGATGTCAGTATCAAGTCAAGGAGTGACTGCTCCACAACAAAGAAATAAAAATCACAAATTCTTCTTTGTTTTGTTTTTATTTATTTATTTTCCAATATGCTCAGATTGCAAACTGGGTTCTGCTTGTCAGGTTTTACAAATGTTTCCCAGAAAATGATGGCAATCACCTCACACTGTTTCCACGTCCACTAAATGCTTAATATGATTGAAAGCTTAAATTCCTAACCAAAGCCTTTTTCAATAAATATTGTTTTTATTCTGGATATGTGAAGCACAATGTTCATAGAAACTCCTGAAAAACAGACCAGCGTTACTATCGTAATAACAGAAAATGAGCAGACAGACAGACAAACAAACATAATGCCTGTTGTATTTGTAAACAATGCATTTACATAGTAATAATAATAACAATCATAATAAAAAAAAACCATTTGTTTTCTTTGTTTGCAAGTTTCAAGCATTCATGCTGAGTCTATTGGTAAAACATCCACTGCATTCTACTGCGCACAATATCTGGTCACAATTACAAAAGTATGAATTATTTTGCTCATATTTATTCTTGGGCATTAAAATCACTATTGTTCAGAAAGAGTTAGGGCTTCATTAGGAATTTAAAACAGTTAAAACTGACTTACTTTGACTTATTTACTTAAAATTCAGTTTTTGTTCTCATTATATTTTGTGACTGATTCTGTAGGTTGTGCAGCTTGGTCTATTTAAATGTAGGGGAAAAGAGTAAAAAGGACAGTATATTCTTGAGGCTTTACAAAAGAGCAAAATAGATTTGGGACGATGCTATCATCAACACTAAAAGAAAAAGTGTGCCAACAACAGGTTTATAGTGTGAATTATTATCAACAGCAACTGAAGTGTTCATCTGGGTATCAACAAGTACTCAAAATAAATGGCTCGCACTCGTATGTGGCACTTTGTAAGCACTTCCTCATTTAGCTTTTGGGTTTTGAGTTGGGGTAATTGTACATGCAGCTCAGTTTAAGGCAATGCAATAAAGATACCACTGAGACACTGAAAATTGGCATTAAAGGCTTCATTACATCGTCAGTGTGAGATCAGAGTCAGACGCAGAGATTTTTTTCTAAAGAAACTCCACGTTACATTTCGGACAGGATCACGTTCTACTACCACACCGTTGACATCTTTTCCAACCACTTCACCTAACACTCATCATCCAGACACAATTTCCCCTTAACTGCTGACATCAATTGAGAAATGCTTGCAACTCAGAGTGCGATCCATGGCGCCTTCATTTGCAGCTCTGCACCACGCACCGTGCCTATAAAAGCTGATAATGTGATAATTAAAAGAGCTGACAGCAAGAACTGTCAGCGAGACACTCTGATTTACCAACCTCTGCTATTTATTAAACCTCTCAAATTACAATGCTTCCACCCTTGAAGTGTACACGTATTATATCAAATGCAATAATGACTGAATTTAGAGCTGCTGTGAATGAAGGAGAAGTTAAGGAGTCTGGGTGGATGACAGCTTGATAAAATCTGCCCAGTAAACATCTGAAACAAGGGTTTCTAACACACAAAAGATCACTGCCATGTCTTTCTCTCTCTCTCTCTCAACCACACCATGATTTATTACCTGAAAAGACAAGAGAACTAATTAGTGAGTAATTAATTAATATAAATTTGCATATTTGCATTTGCAATTAGTGCAGTCAACTGATTAGTCTGAGATGGGGAGTTTGACTCTTCAGTATGTGTGCGTGTGTGTGTGTGTGTGTGTGTGTGTGTGTGTGTGTGTGTGTGTGTGTGTGTGTGTGTGTGTGTGTGTGTGTGTGTGTTTGCTGGACCAGAACGCTGAGCAGACCAGCTGAGGCATTTTTGGGGGAAGGCAGTGATGCTTTTTTTTCTTTCATAGATCTATACATGTACTTTGGATGTGTTCTTGTAAAGTATATGTGCTGGCCCACATGCACACTAGCCTGTCTCACACACATTAGGCTAAGTGTTTGCACATTCGGTGCTGTGTGTACATGCTGTCATTGTCACCGTAGAAACTGCGACTTACTTGGGCCTCAGTGCTCGGAAGTCAAACCAAGATGTAATCAGCTCTCCGTGGCTCATTCTGCTGATCGATGTCTTGTAATGTCCAATACAGAGAGATTGATAAGTTGTTTTAATTGATTATCCTTTCAACAAGGTCATTCGCACACATACATTTGCATGTGTGTGCATGAATCAGTGCGCTTGTGTATGTGTGTTCCACATAACTGAGGTGTGCATATACCCATATCGAGTGCCAGCTGTGCCCCAGTGTGGAATTGGCAGCGTGCCACTGGGCCTTTTCCACTGGGTGTGCTTAATGTCTATGGTACTGAGGTACCAACACTGCGCAGGCCACCTCTTTACCATCCTTTGCATTTGAAGTTTCTGTAGGAATTTCTTAAACCATTTTGAACCTACCTGTTTTTTGCTATCTTTCCCATCACAGTAAGCTGAATATCTTGGAGATTTGGACTTGTGCTTGGATAAGGAAAGGCATCTCTGGAAAATGTGAAAACTATTTTATTTCACAGACCCAACAATCAAGTATTGTTCACCAAATAAATAGATGACTTCTTTTGTGGGCTAACTATAGAAATCTTAGTGTTGGTTGTCTCATAGACACTAAAATAAGTAAACAATAATAAAATACGGGAAAGCCTAACCGCATTGCTGGATACCACTCGAGTTAATATGTTACCTTTCTAATATGTAAACATAAAATGAGAAAACTTAATTTAAAATAAAAGATTTCAAAAGTTAAGAATTAAAATGGCTTTTCAAACAGGTTCTAAAAGTGTCTCATGATGGAGAGGTCCTGATGTGAAGGGGCAGTTTGTTCCACAGTTTCTGAGCTGCAAACGCTCGATCTCCTCTGTGCTTTAATCCGGAGCTCGGGAAAGCTAGGAACATTTGCTCAGCTTCAGACTTCTGTAATCTGGAGGGAGCATGCCAACTTCAAAGGTTAGAGAGGTAAAAAGTTGCCAACCCAAGCAATGCCTAAAAAACAATTATGAAATCAGTTCAAAATCTGACTGGCAGCCAGAATAGTGATGGTAATATGGGAGATATGACCTTAGACCCAAACACTCCATCTATGTAAGTAACAATCATTATGTATACTTTCTATGCACTCCAGCTTAAGTACATTGTTTGCTAACTGCATTAACAGCTTCTCCTTTGTTTCTTGAGAGGAGAATTTAAAAAAGTATTCATTAACTAACTAAGCATTTTAGAAGTAACCCTTCCCTTTGCCACCAAGAGGGCGGTGCATTCAGTGAGGGTAATTAAATAGTAAATTGACCATATGAGCATTGCATTAACAAAAACATTGCTTTTGCTTCCAAAAGCACAAGAACCAGACACAGAAATGAACACTGTTACCACTGTTACTAATATAATCAGGGGTTTTGTAGATGCCAGAGAGGTCAAAGATTATTTTTTTGTAATGCTTTGGAAATATTTGACAGAAGTCATGATGCAAAGAGTGCATCACTCACAGATTCACTCACTCACATGTGTAGAACATCTTTTGTTTTTCACCTGTTTTACAGCTGCTGCTCCTGAGACACGCAATGAGTCATTTCCAAAAGTCAAGTAAAAATGATGCTCACGAGGAATTCTCACAAAACCTGTGACGCTCATGCTGTTAAAGTGGGTCCTGAACCCTTATCAAAAAATTAGACTAAACGCTGTTATTGAATCCCCTTTGACCCAAATATAAGAGCTTCCCCCCGCCGCCCCCCTCATTTACTTTTGCACCCAAATACATTTCCAATTGTTTTAATTAATTTATTAATGTAGTTTAATTTGGGATGTAGGAGAGGGTTTTTTAAGCTTTCCATCTCCGCCGCACAGCTTTTATTTGCGCATACTTAGCTCTGCATGGATCACATAGTGCGGAAATTCATAATCTGTCTACCTGTTGAGAATCTCTGCAAACTCCCTCCAATTTTCCAGACAAAAAGACATTAATTCATCTTTCTTACGGGGAGATGCAGATATTAGTTGTTATCCCTCTCCGGTCTCTGTTTCTGACGGTAAACGCGGGCCTCCCGGTGCCCATTACCGGAGCTGCCAGATGATCGGTACGGAGCGGAGGTCCCGTGGGACAATGAACACGTGGTCTCGGCTGCCACAAGACGTCAGCGGCAGATGGCATGGGTACCCGCTGTTGGCATGAGTGTCATTCCTCAAAGAGAGAGGGAAAGGGAAGAGAGGGAGGGAGAGTGAGAGAGGGGAAGGGAAGAGCAGATCACAGCAAGGTAGAGAAAAGAGAGTGCGCAGAATTAAGCTCTTTCTTCCAATTTGGTAGCTTGCGAGTGAAGAAGCTGAGGCGCAGTTTCAGAGGAGATATTCGGGAACATGCAAGGTACATGCTGACCAGAGGTTAGTAATGTTTTTGTTCGCAATTTGTTGACTGATCATGCGCTTTTATTCTGGGTTAAAACGTGGTTAAATACGTGGCGTACAACTGGCCAGTTTTGGACTCTGATTTGGAGCAAACATAAACTTTAATGTGATGTAATATAAGGTTTAAAATATGGCTATTTTTCACAAATCTAAAGGCAATTAAGTGTAATGCCTTTGAAAAGGTAGCAAGCTGTGACACTGGCCTTGCTTGCCAATTTGTTACTCTTCCTCTTGGGAGGGCTCATTCACGAGGTAATTAACTGACAACCTTCAAAAGACGTCGGGGTTCTACCTTGTCCTTATAGTTTATGTTTCCGCTTTGATTTTACAGGAAATATGTTGACACTGCCATTCGAGGAACCTCATATAATGTGTGAGCCGCGGTTTGGTGCCAATTATCCCCGTGAAAGCTTACCTGAGAGCCTGGAGCAGGAGCGACAACATAACCCTGACAGATCCAACTCAGACATGAGGGAGATCGAGGACGACATCTCCGACAGAGATGAGGACGAGAGAGAGGACGATCAGGATGAAAACGGGCTTCCTAAAAAGCGAGGCCCCCGAAAAAAGAAACCGGGCAAAGAGCAGGTTGACAGGGCCAAACTCAGGCGCCAGGAAGCCAACGCCCGAGAGCGCAGCCGGATGCACGGCTTGAACGCTGCGCTAGAGAGCCTGCGCAAAGTTGTGCCGTGCTACTCCAAAACTCAGAAACTGTCCAAGATTGAGACCCTCAGACTGGCTAAAAACTACATCTGGGCCCTGTCAGAGACTCTTAGCGCAGGGAAGAGACCGGACCTCCTCGCCTTCGTACAGACTTTGTGTAAAGGATTATCTCAACCAACGACCAATTTGGTGGCAGGTTGTTTACAGCTGAACGCGAGAAACTTCCTCACAGACCACAACGGAGAGGTGATGTTCTCTGGGAGGGCGCCCTACGATGCCATGTACCCGTATCCTGGATCAGACATGAACACACCCCCCGGCCACAGCGGGAGCAGCTTGGACAGTAGCGCCAAGCCGTTCCGTCACTACAGCTACAGCAGCGCCTACGAACCCTACTACGAGAACCAGTCCCCGGAGAGCGGGAGCCCGCATTTCGACGGCCAGCTGAGCCCACCAATGAACTTTAACGGGATTTTCTCCCTAAAACACGACGACCCGCCAGAGTACGGCAAAAATAGCCACTATGGCATGCGCTACTGCGGTGCGCCAGGGCGCACGGCTCTTGCGCATAACTCCATGTACCGAGTCTCCCCAGAGGCCCGTTTCCCTTACGATCTGCACGTCCGCAGCCAGTCCTTCCAAGCACAAGGAGAAGTTAATGGCTCTTTCCACAATTAATCAATCAGCTGGACAAAGTTCAAGCTTGAGAAGCGATGCAATTTCCCCCCACAGATGTCGTGAGTGGAATGAAATTGACTCAGACAGGCTGATGCACTGCAAAAATGCCAACTGAAACAAGTCATTTTTTGTGTGTTTTGAAAGATGATACGAAGCCAGAATTTCAGATGAAAGGGATTCACAAGTTTCTTGTTGTTGTTCAGTTTCATTCGTCTCAATATAAACTTTAAACACACACACACACACACACACACACACACACACACACACACACACACACACACACACACACACACACACAC